AGTTAATAATTATTGCACTCATTCCACATACCTTCAAAATCTGGCCTCTCTTTTCTCCACGCACAAACACAAAGTCCCACTTCAGAAAAGCCTCAACTCCCGCGCCCTTTTTTCGGGTGTCAAAAAACGCCGTTGCAAGAAAAAAAAAAAAACACACACAAAAAAAACGCTGTTTACGTAAAATTATAAATAAAAAGTAACGGAAGAGTAACGTCCGTCACTTTTTATCGGTAACGGTAGCGCGTTCCTTTACTTTTTTTATTTTTTGGTAACCAATACAACACTGCCTAAGAAACAGAAACTGCGCCCCCCCCCCCCCCCCCCTAAAAAAAAAAAGAATTATTGGTCGCGTATGCTGCTTTTGTGACTCTCAAGCTTCGGCCTGTTTTTGCCGCTGGCGGCGGGTCGGGGAACCACGAACAATGACGGCATGCGCACGACGTGTCTTCTAGCTGGTATTGCTCGTGGACGTCCGCCAGGCGTCTGATATAGGCCCGTTTCCCTTGGCCAGGGGGCACCGTGGCGTCCACGAGATACGACCCCGAAAGAGTCGCCTCTGCCGCGAGACGCGAGTCCTGACGTGAAGCGGCGTCTTAGCGTCCCAGACATGCACGATTCCCTGGGCATAAACCAACGTCTCTCAGCGCACCTCAGCATCTGTCCACAGGCACCGTAGAGCGTTTGAAAAGGCGCGATGGCACGCACAGCGTGAACGCGACCTAAAAGTATTCGATTTCACTGGTCAGGGGCGCCGCTCAGAACTTGAGAGCTACAGATCCATTCCGCAACAGAAGAGAGCTGCACGCTCACAATGGCCTCCCACGGCCCAGTAGACGAAAATGGCAGCGCGTAGCGGGGGATTCTTGGAATGGTCTATAGTCACTGATAGGACAAGAACTGCAGCTAGGACGTCTTTCAGTTGCCCCCTCCAGTCGCCGACAGCCGAAGGAACGCAGGGCGTGGTCTATGATGTTCCCGCTTTGTGATTGGCGATTTGACTTCCTTATCAGCTATAGTGCCGCAACCTCATTGGCTTCAAAGCGATACTATGCGGAAGCGAGTGGTGTGCTTCTTGCGCAAGGGTTGCGGTGACGTCAGAAAGACGCCGAGCTCTGATTGGCTCTGATTGAAGTATAGTAGGTAGAATTCAAGGCAGCTAGCATTGAGGTCTACCCACCATCCTTCCAATCGGAACCAATCAGAGCTCGGCGTTTTAACGTCACACCAACCCCTGCAAAAGAAGCAGACGAACTTGCGGTCTGCATTGGATCTCGGGACTCGCCACGCCCCGCGTTTCTTATGTTCTCAGTGCATATACAAGGCCGGCGGCGTCTTGTGAGCTTGTAGCGCGCAGGCGCAGCCAGTGGACGGCGTAAGGCAACGCGGACGTTTGTTGGAGCTCGGGCCTCCGAAAGAAACGCCGTTCTTATCTTGTCGGGGTCAGGCAGCAAAGTTGCGAGCTGAAGTAAAATTGGGAACAAGTTCGACAGAGCAGCTGTAGGCACGAGGTCGAAAAAGAGATGTAGAGCCTCGTATATAAACGAAGCGAGCCGATTTAACCGACTGAAACGTTCGCAGAATGCAATGGAGTGTGGAAAGGACAATAAGGGTACCATGGGCCTCCATACGAGGATTCGGAAGCAGACCAAGGAAATATATGCGCAGATTGAAAAGTAGTCAAATTAACGATGAACAAAAGAGAAGACACTCCTGGACCAAACATGACATTGAGTAAATACAACATAAAAAATAAAAATAAACCTAAAGAAAACATAAATTGCACCGTAAATACTGATGCGTGCAAAGACGAGCGCATACGGATAGGCATGAGAACCAAGAAAGGTGGAACATACGCAAAGAACGCGTTTTTCTATGACTGCATCTCGCGTCACACCCGCCTTCAGAAAATTTGACTTCTACTTTTTCTTTCTCTCACCCTAATATTTTCACGCTGTTCTTTTCAGTCTGTTGCCGCGTGCTACGTATATCGTCAGAACCTTACGACCCGTGGCAGCTTAACGAACAGCAGCAGCAGCAACGGCAAAAGTAGCAGCCAGCCAGGCTGGGGGGAAGGATGGAGCACGGGGTCCAAACTCATTTAGCGCCATCTGGTTTGGTGATTTTTATCTTTCCTAGAGGGAAGGGGAGGAAGCAGCCATGCCGCCCGAATCGCGGGGCTCTGTTGCGAGTCCTTACTTAGGGCCGGGGGAGCCTGTTTGAGTCTCGTTTGCTCCGCTTTGCATAACAGACACCGCGCTCTCTCTTTGGACGTGTGAGAAGCAAAGTTTGCTGGAGCGACTTGTTTAACTGTCGGTGGTTCAGAGTCTGCGATGGAAGAGGAACCGAACTTCTCGCAAAGGGTGTCCCAAAAGTTTCAATGCAAAAAAAAAAAAAAAGAATGGCTTGTTTTTTTTTTTTTTTTGGGGGGGGGGGGGGGGCTGTGAGGGGGGAAGGGGTTCTTTAGAAGATTCACCTTGCCTGTCTTCTTTACGAGATCTCGTTTTGCGCACCACCAAAATTGAATAAAAAAACTCTAAACGTTTTTTTTGTTTTGTTTTTGTTTTGTTCTTTTAAGCATTTAGATTTGAAGCACAAAGGATGTCTGAGTTTTCTCGAACATCGGGTATATGGAATTCCCTGCTTTGTCTGGGCAAACGAGAGTACGATAAAGTTTGTATAAGCCTCTACTAGATTATATAGTAGTGTTTTTTCGTCGTTTTTTTTTTTAGATGAGACGAAAAGCATAAAGCCTAAATGTTCAAACTAAACCTTTGAAAGGATGATAGCACATTGTCTATAGGGAGTGTTCCCGAGACGCCGCATCGCCGGTCGCAGTTCGCAGTTCGCAGCGAATTCTCAAAACTAGCTCCCATTTATCGTCTGCCAAGAACAAAGATCCCGAAAAGGTGAAATGCACACTGAACATGCATATTAGTGCATTCCTTCTGACCAGCACATTTGTTCTCGGCTCAAGATGAATGGAAGACATTTCTAAGCGTGAGCTGCAAACAATGACCAGCAATATGGCGTCTTCTTAGTACCGCCTGCAGTATGATGGGGAATGTTTCGCTTATATAAATATTTCTACGGGGCCTTTGAAAGAAGACACCTTCCATTCGAGAACGTAAATTGAACTGTCTGTACATCAGTAAATTTTTCAGACCCAGACAAACAACAAACGTACAAAAAAAAATACGCACATCGTCACGACTAAAAAGAGACACGCTCATTATAGGAGAACATCATTTGAATAGAACGTGAAAATATCGAAGGCTCAAACGTTTTCACCGATTTTCGTGCGTTTTTATGTTGTTTTTTTCTCCGGCAGCTTCATTTTTACCATTTGGGAAGCAGAAAGCTGCGAGAACACAAACGGAATCCGAGTGGCTGTTTTTGTCGGACATTGAATCGTTTTAGTGAAGCACTACATAAAAAGAGCCCCTCTCTTCATGAAAAAATAAGTATTTCCCCAATGCTGAGCACGTTTGCTGTGTCAGCAAAAACGGGACTGCAACATCGGTCTCTGGATAGATGGGAGTTGGTTTTGAATGAATGATCGAGAGGACCAGAAAATTTGCAGCGAATGACCGAAGAAACCTTCAATATATAATACACATGTCTGTTTCCCCTTCCTAGTATTTGTATGCCTCGCGAAAAGTCAGAATTTCAGAACTTCTCATCGTTTCGAGAAACTGTTCCCTGTTTTTTTTTTCTATTTCTTTGCAAGACGTGCTTTGGCGGCTCTCCACCGACATCTGTATTCCGGAGTCGTCCGCGCTTTATGGAGAGGACAAGAGATCCCGTGCTTTGCGCAGTTTCGTATTTTTATTTTGTGTAAAGAACAAACAGAAGTTGAAAGTCACTGATTTAAAATCAGCGACGCCAGTTCAGATTGGTCTTTGGTAAACAGCGTTCTTAGGACTTGATCCAAGGATTTTTTTTTTCGTATCGCTTTGCTTTTCTATTGTTCCCTCCGGTCCGTAATGACGGGGTAAGTATGAGACACAAACAAACTGAGGAACAGAAAACCTACGTTTAAACGCATGAAGCAAAAAATACATCTGAACCAAAGCATCGTTACCATTGTTAGTTCCAGAGTTTCAGTTGAGGTAAGAAAGAAATATAACTTTTATATCTCCGCACATATTTTATTGTAATATGTTCCGTGACATTTTTTGTACTATGTTGAAAATCATCTACTGTGTAAATGGCTTTCGTTTGTGTTTTTTTACGATTTTTGTTTCGCTTGGTGATGGCGCTTGTCACTTCATGAATGACAGGTCACGTACCTCGATTATTTCAATGAGCAATTCAATTCATTCTGGCTTTGATATGGCCAGATGCAACCAACCTCTAGATTAACAGACAGCCTAAAATGCTAGCATACATGGTAAATATAGCATTATGATAACCAGAGCATGCTTCAGCAAAATTAGTAGTTCACAAACGTTTTTTTTTTTTTTTTTTTTGCGGTTCGGGAAATTGCAGCGGAAGAAAGGTCATGAGCATGGTAATGACCAGGTGCAATACTTTTTGAAAGTTCCTCTTGTAGCCCTAAACCAATTTCAGTGTGGATGTAACTGCCCTCGTGTCCTAGTGCTCACACGAAACCTTCGGCAATGAAGGATGCCGAGGGCATATGCCTACCAATATTTTTCATATGGAGGTTTTTGTTGTTTTGCGATATCACTCGGCACTGTTTGCACATGCGTTATATGAACAGTATTAACGACATTCTACATGTAAGTGTTCATTACCTACTATGGAGTCTATTTTCTCCATTATGTTTTACGCAGGTGACGTATCATGATCTCAAAGCATGTCGACCATGCAATGAGAGCACCATATTCATGCAAGGCGTAAGTGCGTACCCGAATGTATATGACATCTCCCGTTTGTTTAGTTAAAGCCTCAAAAAGTAATCCCGAAACTGACATCGCAACGTCACAGCCCGTTATCAATGGCGTATGGACGATTTTCAAGTTGATGACCTGACTTACGAACTTCGTCGACGGCCGGCGAGAGAAACAGGGTGATGGCGACGAGGAGCACGCTGGCCGTCAAGAGCGCTAATGCGACCAGCACCACTGCGAAGACGATCCTGCGTCTCCTGCTCTCCTTTACGCTCACGTCGCTCACAGGGGACAGACCAACCTCGACCGCGAACAGTTCTGTCAGCGAAGACGTGTTCTTGCTCTTGGCAACGCTCCACTCGGGCTCTGCGGAGCTCACCGTCGACCTGGAGCCGGTGTTGTTTTCCTTAACAGTGTCCCTCTTGGCATGCACTTTAGGACATCGTGCGGCCGCGCCGCTGTCCGGATTGTCTCGAACATCGAAGTTTCGAGGCCTGGGTCCTTCACTGCTCGTCCTGCGGACAGGTTGTCTTCCGTTCAGAGCCTTTGGTTCACGGTCCGCTGCTGAGGCTGACCTCTTGAGATGCCTTTTCCCACGACGTCCGTTGTTATTGCCGTTGTTGGTCTTGCGGTTGCCTTGTTTCTGATGTGGCGCCTGTGTCAGGACATCGGATTGAACGGAACATCTTCGTTGGCCTCCTCCAGATTTTCCATGTCGTCGACCGCGGTTTCGGTCCGGAGGCGGGTTGCTGAGGTTGTCCAAACTGCAGGAGTTTGAGACCACTTCCTTCTTAAGGCGCGCCATGTTCGCTTCTTCTTTGCGCTCTTTCCGCCGAGACTTGGTGTTCTGACGACCGGCTCCGTGAGTGTCCATGACTGCTTGATTTCGAACCAGGTTAAAGGAAACAGGGTTCCCTACTGAATGGTAGGCACAGGTCTCGGTGTGAACCTCAAAATATTACTTATCACGGATATGTGACTGCTTGCAATTTCAAGTAAAAACAAATGTTCAAGCAAGCTTGAAAGTCTGGTTCAAGGAGTTATCGCTGATAGCAGAGGCACCTAACCTCGCCTTTTCCAGGAGGTACCACAGGTGAATCTAGATGAGACGGTAGTCCAGAATCCCCGAATAATCCGCGATCTAAGATTGCGTCGGCGTAATACAAGCTGTGGCACTTTCGCAAGAGGATCTACACGAAAGTACAAAAACAGAGTCTTCGTTCACAGAGAAAGCAGCTGAGTACTGCAGTCCAGGACGCTCCACACAAACACACACACATCCGCTGTCCTCGCTCCAGGCCACCTCTGCTCTCATGATCGCGCCTGCACAACTTTGCCGATGCAAACAAGCGGCCGTAGCCAAGCATCCCACGCTGTCGTCATAAAAAGCGGCTACGGACGTAAGCAATCCCGCCTGGGTTGCGTCCTGGTTGGCCCACAAGCAACGGGTAGCTCTATACACAGCGCGCAATATACGTTTTCGCTCTGCCGTGGCTTACATGCTTGGCCGGGATCCCGCGGTCATCTGCCGCCCTAGCTCCAGCTGGGGTTTTGGCCCATGGGCTCTGCCCTTTCCCAAGCCCCGTCGAACGCGTAATAATAAAAATAAAGGGAGAGGAGGCCGCGAGGAAGGAAAGAAAGAGAGAGAGACAGGATGAGGAGGGCCGCTCGTGGTTCCCGTGAGCAGAGCTCGTTCGGTATCTGGATGTGCCGAATGGAAGAGGGGAACCCTACGTGAAAATCAAAATATGCGATGAGAGGAGGAAAGGGGGTGAAGGTGGGAAGGGGGAGAGGGAAGGGGGGGTGAAGGTAGAGGTGCTTGTCTTGTCGGCCCCTCTTCTATTTTGGGTACCTTGTGCGTCTGTGTCTGGCGGATTGCTCACCCGCCTTTGCTTTGCTGCTTTAGAATGCCATCGAGTTCTATCAGTGGCTTCGTTCACCTTTGGGTGCGCACGGAAAAATGGGGGAGGCATTAGAAATAAATAAGCTCTACTTTTTGCGTTGTTTGCGGCGTGCTGGTCAGAATGTTATTGTTGCGCGGTTCTGTATAAAAGCTGTGGCGCATTCCTTAAAATATATCTAGTTTATTTTTCTAAGCAGCTTGACTGAGCCCTCATTGTGACCAATAAATATTTTACGAAAAGGACGCCTTCTAAGACTGAGTAAAAGATCAAGTATGGTCTGTAGGAATCCCTGCACTGTTTTGCCAACCCATAATTTTGTCGCGATATCATGCTTTGTGCGTTTTTGTTATTTTGTTTGCTCACTAGGATTTTTCTTGCGAGTCTGCGAGGATCCTTTGACAAGGGTTAATTAACGGCTTTCTAAAGTAGTCCTTTAGAAGGGTTTCTCTGAAGACGGCCGTCTTGGATGTCTCAAATTCTTTCTTGGGATGTGGATGGTAATCCTCCTAACTGTTTTTGTAAATCGTTAATCGGTAGGGGCGCCGAGCGTTGATGCCGGAGTCGGTGTGTGTCATTTTTTAGCTTCCCGATCAGGAATGATCCCAAGGGTAAGAGAAACGTCCTTGCTTCCTTGTTCTTTTTTATAGGTGTTTCTAGTTTGCTATTGGAATGTGTACATGTTTGTTTTGCAGCCAGAGTATTCTGATTGGTCCGGAGAAAATCTTTCCGGATTGGTTGCTTAGATGACCCCTGAATACTGCGAAGCTTTATAGACCAAAATTTTTGAGGTTTTAGCGCCCGGCTATTTTTTTCCGACTGGGGCGCCGCCCTGCGGGCATTCGCAGGGACTGCAGTTTAGCATACATTTTCACCATTTTCGCTGGCGTCAAAACCGGCGTTAAAACCACACTCGGTGTTAAAACCGCATCCAGCGAAAGAAAAGCAAAAACTGAATGCCCAAAGAAATCATGTGGCCTTTGCGCAATGTGGCGTACCCCCACGATTTCCTCAGTCTCCTGCTCCGCAAACGCTATCCGCTGTCGAGAGTAGAGCGCCGCTCGCGTCTGTTAGCGAGGCTAAAAAAATTCTGGTCTATATAGAGGGCGTTATTTTTAAATTTAAAAGATTTGTTAAAACAGAAACAACAACAACAAAGTAAAACTACACTAATGCGGTCTTTGTAAGTAAGTTATATGGCCGGGGGTACACTATAAGGCTAATCGCCATGATAAATCGGATAATTAAAAAACTGTGTTAACTGACTTCTTTAATTCGTGAAAATAAACATTTGGTTCAAATTAGAAACTTGCTGAGCGCCATTGAAACCACTGAATAAAGCCTGGTTCAAACAGTTGCGTTTGACTGCGCTTGACTGCGCTTGACTGCGTTGCGGCTGCGAGAAACCAGGAGATCCCTGCTGCTTCTATCGCGTGCCAAGGTGATTCCTTGAACTATACTCCACGCTTCATACGAAGCACACATGTGCCGGCTACCCACTTTCGGTTCTCGACGCAACGCAGTCAAACGCACTTAAACGCAAGTGTCTGAACCGGCCTTAAGTGGGTTTTAGGAAGGTTGGGTAGCGGGGAAAGCGTGGTAAGGCGCGCTAAAGTTACTACTCGTAGAACGGGCACAATGCTGCATGGTGGTGCGAAAGCGAGGATAAGAGACGGAAAACTTTGCGCGGGCGTGTATCCGTACAGCCAGCCTTGCACCCGCTGCACAAGTGGTAACTTTAGCGCAACGCCGCACTTTCCACGAGCCACAAGTATTTCTATTATAAAGGCATTTAGCGGTTTTAGATCAAGCTCGGCAAGTTTCTCATTAGAACTATATTGTTATCTTCAAGAATTAAAAAGTTAGTTAACACATTCTAGTTAATTAACCGACTTATTGTGACTCTTATCCTCTGAATTATGTACCCTTGGCCGTATAACTTACCCGCACATACCGATTTAATGTAGCCTTCACGGCTTTCTTAATAACAAGCGGCACCTGGACGACTAGACCTGATCGACACTATACCTGAGTTTAATCTTCACGTCCGACTCCCCAGAATAGAAAAACAAAATACAAAAGGTTTTATTTACATGTAGGCAATGGTGTGTTTGGGTAGTTTCAGCAGCTACCAGCGCTAGTTCGTTCTAGGTTTATATATAACGTTATTTCTAGATTATAATTAAAAAAAAAATATTATGGTGACCATATCACCGATCATGGTCACTCAGAAGTGCAACACACATGGCACAAACAGCAGTTTTCGAGAAATGGCGTAAAATCGAGTTTTCTTAGTATATTCAGTCTCGGAACCTTCAACAATTTTACAACTCCTGGCTTGTTATCATCACACACGCACACACACATATTCTGCCTCTGTCTTCGGCTCGTTGTTCTTTTTTAAGTATCGGTACTCTTCCGAATGAATTAAAAACAGCGAATCTCAGCGTTTTTTGCCTTCGCTGCGCACTCACCGACATATGTTTGCGAATTCACACCATCACAGCCACTCGCCTTGGTGGCAGGTGAACAAGGTAGATGACGTGATACTTAAGCGTACGCACTATACACAACGCAAGAATTAAATGACCCCGCATAGAGCGCGCATTAATCCGTCCGTGACAGCGAGAGAACCATAAAGTGTGGTCGATGTTTTGTTTTTTGCAAAGTAACATCTACTATATAAAGTACAGGCATGACGCGCTATTGTTTGAGCTTCTAGAAACGAGCAGGAAAAAAAAAGAAAAAGAGTTCATACATGTGGCAGTAATCCGAGAGACATTGCTGCATTCTAGCCATCATGACTGTCAATACTGCTACAAAACACACAAGTGTGCTCTGCCAAAAGAACCCATATAGAACAATAAAAGATTGTAACAGCCTCCTCCACCTCTATTAAACATCATCACACTCGGATGTTGGCCACTCGGCATGCAATGGGACGGTCCGAAACCGACATCGAGCGTCCTTAGGAGGCATGACTGGGCATGAGACTCAGTCTCCAGTCTGTCCTCGAGCTCACTGTAATGATGTGGAAATGCTAGTGCAGACATAGTCTTTGATTATTCTAGGTAGTGTGGGCCAGGCAACCCGATTAAGTATTTTTGTTATAATTCCCTGGACACTTTGACGCATAGACGGTATAGAGGACGCTAAAATCACTCGCCGCAAACGCGTACCGGTGACCATTGTGTAAACATCAAAGTTGACTAATCACTTTCCCTCTCCAGAATTCCACAGCTCTTCGCTCGGTGGGCGCTTGTCGCTGAATCTCTCAACACTTCAATCTAGATTCGGGGAGTCCAACTGCCTCCATGGCCGTTCCTGGCTTTGACAAGCTGGCATTTACGCAGGCTGTGCTCTAACACGCGCATTCCAAAACAAACATGGCAAATGCCAAGCTGCTACCGCAGGACAGTAATTGCACTCTACAAAGTATGGAGCGTCTGTTTGCTGGGAAAGCACTTGAGAGAACCAATCGCTGCCATCTACAGAGGAAACTCTGCGAACGATGAGGTGTATTACGTGTTTAGACCTAAGAAAGAAAACAGTCTGCGTTATGGCACTGAGCATGGCGAAGCGTCACGCTTACTGCCACAGCGCAGATATATTTTTTTGGTAAGGCGAAAGTAGTATATATTTCATTACGCGAAAAGGCGGCGTCGGCGTTGTGCCCGAAAGATGGCCATAAAAATACGTCATCAAGCACGCGCCGTTTAAGGTCAAAGCGGCCGCACCTCAGAAATAAAACACAAAGAAAAGCGCAGACACTCAGATGCTTCGCCACGGAAACTTTGAAGCCGGCGGGGGCGCTGCGCCTGCGCAGTGGGGGAGCGTGATATCACCGCCGGACCCGCGGGACTAGAACGCTTTCGCATTCCTACACGTAAGCAGTCCTGCGTGTCTTCGGAGTGTTTTCTAGGTCTAAACATATATTACGCCTCATCATTCGCGGAGTTCCCTCGGTAGATATAGCGATTGGTTCTCCAAACTGCTTTGCGGGAAAGTATAGACACTTCAGATTTCTCAGAGTGTAGAAACTGTGACATGTCAAATCTCGCAAGGTCTCTTCAGTATCGTTTGCATAAAGTTCCAACTTACACCTGACCACTTAAACGCACACACACAAACATATATTTGCACAGATTTCATTTTGCATCTAGAAGAGTATGCGTATTTTTCACGAGGTCTCATTGACGGCGTAGAACGGCCAAGGGGAGCAAAATGTGCCGAGACACCGAGGGAGGGGAGGACACGAGAGCTCGCGGGGACTTTCAGAACGCCGAGCGCTGATTCGAATGAGTAGTGAGTAGGCCTATAGCTACCTTTGTCTCGCCTGCACTCGTCAAACGCACGAAACGCCGGCGTCCGGCGTTCGGCTATCGCATTCGAACACGTTCCACGAGTGCAGTGGAGATAAAAGCAGCTAGCCTTAGGTCTACCCACTAGTCATTCGAACCAGAGCATGGCGTTCTGATGTCCCGGCGTGCTCTCGTGTCCTCCTATCCCTCGGTTTCTCGCCGCATTAGTCGAACGCCCAAGGGTAATATCGAGAGTGCGTATTGACGCCCTTGGCCATGATACAGCAACTCCAGCCAAAGTTTATCCCTTCTTTTTTTTCTCGTTTTG